TTTTTTCTAGGAAACAGCAATATCCACCTGTTACCAAATAACCTGTTGCTTTGAGCATCTGGATTGAATTTTCTTTTTAATCTGAGAGTTTTCAAAGAACTCATTCAACGTAACCAGTTATATGCCTAACTTTTTAAAATGATATCATCATGATATAATTTCTTTCTCTTTCTTTTCAAAGAGCAAACTTTATTCCAGGCTTGGAAACATTAGCTTCTACCCCACAGAAAGGAGTAGTCTCAGGAAAGGACCAGTCAAGGAACATTTATAAACTCGTGCTCTAATTTATACCCGTTTACATATTTAATTAGTCTATGAAATTGCCTATTGAACATCTTTCTTCCCCTGTATCAACCCTGGACGTAACACAATGACAGTCTTAACCAGGTAGGCAGCAAATTAAATATCATTAGCTAACACTATTGTGGAACGTAAAGCTAAGATAAAATTTATTTTTAAAAGTAATGGAGTTAAAAACTAGACCCATAGGACCTTTTTCTTGAAAAGAATAAGGTAAACAAGCTTTGCCAGGTTTGGAAAGAGAAGAGTGCTTATCATTTATCTGTATCTGAACCAGTCACCAAACATCGCTTACACAAACCGAGAGGTACATCAATTTTTAAGGTGTGATTCATCTGACCTAGTTTGGGAATCTACATTAAGCAGTGGTGAGCTGCATTCTGGAAATGCTTGCTTCTCTCCATTGGCTATAAAGGGAATATACACTGTGGTCTTAGGCACAGACAGACATGTATTGCAGATGCCTGCATCAGATCAGATGAATCCCATGCTGGATGTAGGAATGAGGTACTTTCAGCAAGTCAAGCAATTCCTAAAATAACTAGAGAATGTAAACTACATCCTTGTGCTGCTATGATCTAATGAAGGCTGGTAAGCTTTGATGATACTCAGAACTTCTACTGTGTAAAGTAAAGTGCAATAAACAGATAAAGGAAACATGAAAATAGGAGTTATTGCTTAGGTCTCCATGGAAGATGGAGATAAATAAAGGCAGTTGTTTTTTCAGAATGTCCTATCTGTCTATGTAGGAAGAACAGAAGTAGTACAAAGAAACCACTTAAATGATCTGGTGAATTTGTTTTCCTAGAAGAGTCCAAATAAAATTAGGTGTAAAAAGACCACTTTTAAGTAGCCATAATAGTTTAATTAATATCATAAAACCAGCACTTGTTCACATCTTTTAGGAATGTGGATGGAAAAATCCAGGAATATGTAAAACAGTTTATTTAATTTTATTATTCCTGCCAGCCCCTTCCATGCCAAATACATACCCCATGGGAATTTCCAAACTGTGTAAATGACAGAGATGGAAAGAACACAAGACATTAATTACTCTTGGTTATATTAGGAATACTGAATGAAAATAGGGCCTCAAAATCGCCTCAGTCTCAGTTCATCCCTTTTCTATTATTTTCCTTCTTCAGGCATTTTAATATCCAAGCACTTCATTATGTAAGCATTTGTTATTCTTCCCTGTCATTCCTACAGCACTTGGCAGGCTGTAAACTTGTATGACTTCATAAACAAGGCAGCTTTGTGATGTTAGCAAGAGCTCACTCCAATTTTTCCCTGTGTTTGTAACATTTTTCCAAGTTTTCCTAGAATACATAATGATAGGTTAAGAATACTTGTACTTCAATGAAAGATTGTATTCCAAGGTAAGAGTGTTTGGATTTTGGGTGTTTGTTTGGTTTTTGGATTTTGGGTGTGTGTGGTTGGATTTTTGGTGTTCTTTTATTTATTTTTATTTTTTTTTTCCGCGAGAAACACTCAATGCCATTTCCAGTGACATATAACCTGTCATTATAGGAGAACCTAAACTGGAACACTGAGTACCCCAAATGGAGTGTAAGAAATTTTTATAGTGGCCACTGAATACTTGAAAAGTAATCTCAAATGACAATTCAGAGTCACTACTACTACAAACCACTGCAAGTCATAGCAAATTTTTAGTTAAATAATCAGTATCTTCCTTATTACACTATCCACACTTCTGTTATTAAACCATATTTTACAGACATGTAGAGAAAGTGTCTAAAATTACAGCTGGCATAATGTTACCAAGTTGGCTGATTTGCATTAAGAATAATATTTTGGGTGGAATCAGTCAACAATATCATGGGGAAAAATTGAATCAGAGACAAAAATAAAAATGGTTTTAGATGCTGTGTTTTAAAGCCAGTATCACAGCTTCTTTTCATTGCATGGTTATATCAATTTTTTTTTTCTAACAGCATACCAAGCTGTTGACCTAAAACCTTAAAAATTAATCATGAATACTGCACGAGTACATGACAAAAAGAAATTCTTTACCTTCAGTCATCTAACCACTTGGAAAAATATGTTGCAATTTTTTTAAGACTACTATTACTGCTTAATTGCATGTAATTTCTAGTTCCTTAGGGTCTTCTTTCTTATAAATAATTAAAGTTGTTAATCATGTTGTGTCAGAGTTTTCTTTATTATAAATGCAATGATAGTAGTTCAAGTGTTCAGAATACTTTGAGTCTTGGACTTAGAACAGAATCACTATTTTGTTTCATAGTAAAATTTAAATTTACTCTAAATATTTGAGGCAATATTTCTAAAGAAGACTATCAAATTTTTAGTGACAGTTGATGGTTTGTTTGTTGTTTTGTTTTGTTTGGCGTTTTTTCCCAGTAATAATTTTACCTAAGATATGAAAATTCCTAAAATTCTTTCAAGGAACAACCCAGTACAGAGGTTAAACATTACCTTCTAATTTCTTCATATTTCACCAGTTAAGTACAATAGCTCCACACACATATATTCTACAACTATGACACAAACTTATAGAGTTAAATATGCGCATTCATAGTGAAGGACCTACAGCAGCACTGAGAGGAAGAAGAATGGCTTGTTAATATCCTTTATTTATGCTGCACATGCATGGAAGGATTTCTGGGACTCATTCTCTTCACCCATGCCTTGTGAACTGTAAGGTAATGTCCTCTGTGAAGTAAATGAAAAGCACTTCATTTACTGGACTGTGGAAACAAAATATCTGCTTTGAAAAAGTGTCTGGTGGTCTGTTGTCTCAGCACTACTGCTTCCCATCTTCTTAGATTTTGTAAGCACATTCATTCACAAGCAAGAAAAGTTTTTGCTTTCCATTTGCTCCTCCCTGCTGCCCATCTATATTCTGTTTCTTTCCCTTGACACAGCATTCATCCTTCCTTCTCCTGCAAGCCTCTAATTCTTCACTGGAGCCTAAAGTTACAGGGCATCAAGTTATAAGCTTGACATTTTGTAAATATTAGCTTGTTTTTGCACAAAAATGGTTTTCCTACATGGATATCCACTGTAATATGGTTCTATACAGTTTCACCCTTGGCTGGTATTATCCTGATGTATAAGTACTTGTGTTTTCAGTTTTGTCTCATGTCCTAGAGGAAACAGCAGAACATGCATACAAGTTTAACATGTGTCTTTTTTTTTCCAAGTCACTCACATAAAATGCTATGTTGTTACTTTGTTGTTACGCTTGCATTCTGACTCCCAAGCTATAATTCTCACTTGGTGTTTTAGCCTTTAAGTACCCAGGAGAAGAAAGTCCTATAATCACTGGAAACCTACAGACTAAAGTAAATAGTATGTCCTAACGTATCTAGTGAATATAGTGAATATTTGGTTACTAATTTTGTCTTCTACATCTTTACAAGCAAATGAGACTTTTGAATGATCAGGCATATACAAAATGACAGTGTTCTTTGCACACACTGTCTTCTTTGGAACTGTTCTTATTAAAGAAAATGAAAACACTATTCTTCCAATGGTTTTAAATTGACATAATTATAATATTTATGACAATATATATATATTAAAAAAAAAGAAGATTCCAATAAATAAATAAATACATGCTATTTATTAAGGGGGTTTTGGCTTTTATAGTGAGTTTGTTCTTTTCCCATTTCATAAGGCCTAAATTTGAAAAGATTAGGAAAATAGTGTATGAAATTTAAAATCCTTACATAATCACAGATGCCTGCTAAATCTGACAATATAATTAGCTTATGTCCCTAGAATTAACTCTTATCAATTTATGGTACACTTTTTTATGGGGACCAATGCAAGCGTAGGAATTCAGTGAATTAGGTTAGTGTCCCAGAAAGTTTAAAGGTTTTAACTTTGTTTAAGTCTGTTTCTAGACTATTACATTAAAGATAAGTAAGCAAAAGCATGTTCTGCATAGCCCACATCATCTACATACTAAAAAATGGGGAATGTAAAATCCAAGATTAAGGGAATACATTTACAGAATGGAACTGATTGTTTTACATTATGAGTTTATGAGCAGAATCTGTAAGAGAAATTATAAAATAATACAGCCATTTTATAAAACACCAGTCACTCAGTAGAGAGCCAAAATAGTCTTATATATGCATTTGAGAGATGAAACACTGCTGCACGGATGAAGACAGTGTTTGCTTTTAAGTATTGAATTAAAAGTAAGTTGAGTTTTGGTTTGCCGTGTTTCATTTAGTTTTCATATTTCCCTTACACTTTAGAGTACTACAGTAAGGAATAGAAGCATATATTTCCAACCTCTTCTCCTTCAAGTGTTTTTTTTTGTTTACTTGGTGGGTTTCTTTGGGTTTTTTTCAGGCGCTTTCCACAAAAACTGCTTTGAAATGTGTTTCACAGTGAGTATTTTGCCTGTTTGGTGTTAAAAGTTGTAGTTTTGTGTGAAAACTTATCCTACAGATTGTTATGGATAAATGTAAGCAAAAAGTGTTTTGGGACTTCTTATGATGCCCAAAAAAATAGTTTAAAATGTGGTTTTAAATATATATTCAAATAACTGCAGGTCCTTGCCTCAATTCTTTATGTTCACCCATCTCTTAGGGTAACCATGCAATCTAAACTAATACTGCACTATCTCCTCTCACAAATCAATGGGAAATGCAGTTCAAGTTAGGACTGCATGGGGGAAAAAAGTGAATAGCATATGTCTTTACCTTGACTCCTATCCATAGTAACATTTGCTGCTTGCTTCAGGGTCTTGTATCCAAAGGTCAAATATAATTTTGAAACTTAAAAATGGTCTTGAATCTTCATGACATTTGGAGTGTTCAACTCATCTTTCCCTGGAAAGCTGAACAAGAAAGGCTGTGGCATTAGAGTCGGAGTTGCAGCACTGACATTAACCAGAGATAGTCAACCAAGTGTATTGTAGGACAACTTTTCAAAAAAGTTCCCTTTGCTACGATTGTATCCTTTTGTCTTCTCCTATATATATGAACCTCTTATCATGGATTAGTCCCTCTTTTCCTGCTTTCAGGTATTTAAACCTCACTCCCAACTCTTCCAAATGAGAAAGTACTCATTCCCCGATACAGATCCCCTTTTTAGCTCTTTCTTCTTTCACTTCATCACTTTGACAGCTCAGGAACTTTTGAATGACTGAATGTGTGCTGGAGGCAATGATAGAACTTCCACAACTAAAGCACCCTGCTTTTCCTCATCTGATTGGGAAGAAAAAAAAAAAAAAATTTTTTGTCATCACTAAAAGAGCTAAGCTAAAAAATGTTCCCCAAAATAGAAATATCTTGTTCATGATTTTGTTTAAATCCACTTCTAAATTAAAAAATGCCCTCATTTTTGAGACACCAGTATGAGGTAATTTTGACTGAGATCATTTTAGAAAGCTAGAAATTAATTAGGTGGACCTAACTTCACTCGTCTAATTTTGTGTCTTTAGCTGGGCTGCCTAAGTTAGGAGCCTGTTCACCTTAGGCTTCCCTCTATTATTAGTGCAAAAAGATATTAATTTCCAAAAAGTGAGTCAGCTTGTGTAAGACATGAATCATTCTGTCAAGATGTCTGCAACTCTCCATAGGAGACACTTTCAATAATTAGGCTTCTAAATTAATTGTCTCCGTTAAGTACCAAAAGACAAGGTGGGATGAACTCAGGTCATTGCTTTAAGAACTCAAAAAAGAGGGAAGATAACATCCCACTCTCTGCACATCTAGGTCTTGAGACTGAGTTCTCACACCTGTAACATACATATATGCACAGTTATTTAAATATATATATTTCTTTGTATAGCCTCAAGCAAAATGGACCAAAATACTGCCACCTTTGTACTGCTACCACATCCAACAATAGAAGGAATAAACAAGGAAATCACAAAACACTTGCAATGCAAGTATTATGCACATATACAAAATGTATTATTTTAATAAATAATAAATAATTTTTAATAAAGCATTGGTCAATATAATGAAACTTAATTTCAGGAGACAATGACAATATCCTGAGTCCTTGGGGACTGAACTAAATAGAACAAGAAAGACTAGCAGCCTGGGAATGTTGTATATAATCATCTCCATCAAGTTCTCCTGAGGAATTTGACTTGTCTCAGAGAGCAGTTTCTCTGCTGAGCTTCTTCTTCATATTCTGCAGAGAACATGGAATTCTTCTGGTTACTGATGCAATTAATTACCAGTATAATTAAAGAGAAAAATCTCAAACTCCTAGACAGTGGCTTCAAGATATCAGTTCGCTGCAACAACCTTCATCCTATTTTCACTACGTATTGTATTGCACTATTTTAAGGCACTGGATTTATTCCACTACATTTTCTAAAACTGGAAAGGAAAAAATCATTGGATTGAGTTAATCAGTGATGGATTTTAGCACAAGCATAAATTAAGCACAGTGGAGGTTTAACATCATATTTGAAATGAATGGTAGCATGCAAGTCCCTGAAATTTTCCTCCATCAGATAAACATGGGAGATATATCTTATAAAGATTAATGAATTGTTAATGAATTTTCAAGTTCAATGACTTAGGCCCCCCATAAAAAAGGATAGCTAATATATTGCATGCATGCTCATCCTAGAAATTAAGCATCGCTTACAGGATTTGATTTCATATGGCTGTAATTGGAAGTTTTCCATGAAGATAGCTGCAATATATGTTGAAATTTTGATTCAGTATTATAAAGAAAATATTCTTATCCACAATTCAAATGCAGAGTTCAACAAATTATTAAAAAATAAAAAACACAGTTAAGATTTTGTTACATTTTAAGTATGACACCAAGCTTGGACTGGATGTTTCTTTAGAGCATTTAGTTTCTTTCCAATAAAATTCAGTATTTTGTCTGTAAGTCTTAATGCTTAATTGTTTTTTTAATCTAGTTACTAATGTTTAGAAAAGTCCTGAAAAGTAAATGAGAATTGTAACACCCATAAGCATATAACACACAAAATCATATGTTATCCTATAAGACACATCCTCCTATGTGAGTTCTGGCACTGGAAGTGTAAGGCAAGACATTTGTTTGGTTTCTGTATGAGTCTCACACTTACTGAGTATCAGAATTCAGAAAATCTTCTATAGAATTAAATACAGCCAAAAGAGGAGAAAATCTAAGTAATTAATAAGCCTTTGGTTGTTGCTTTATCTCAGTGTCTATTAAGTCTGAGGTGTATTACAGGGGAGTCTTCTTGTTCTTGAGGCTTATATAGAATTATGAAGAGTAGATATTTTCCCTTGAATTGTACACAGTGTAAATAATTTTCTATTTCCTGGAGAAAAACAACCTCAAAACCCCCCAACTTCTTACCATTATTAATTTTCTTTAACTCTTCTTTCACTTCCAATATCTCTAAATTTCCCACTCAAGCTACATGAACTGCATGTTTTGTTCTCTGTCTTTAGTCAGGACATTTTTCAGGATCAAATCTGTTATGTTTTCAGGATGTGTACTTAGCTGAATTCTGTTTTGGACACATAAGCATTTTTGTCTGAATAGTAAAGAAACTATGTTTTACTGGCCTCTCATCAACCCAATACATATATATCAACCCTGTCGATACACATATTCAAATAAGTGCAAGAGAATTATTCATTAGATAACTGGTACTGTCTTACTGGAGAACAGCTTGTTACAGCACTTGCTTTCTACATGCTACAGAAATAATTGGAGTGCTTGAGAAAGCAGGAAAATAAAATCCCAAGGAAACACTGAATTTTGCTAGAAAGTATATAGGCAGAGGTTGTGCTTCGATTACATTTCAAGGGTCAATATCCTCCAATTTTCAGAACTTCTTACAACCTCAAGATCATGTTAGAGTAAGCATTGCTTATGGACTCACCAATACAAATCTTGAAACATCTACAATTTTCATAATATGCCAAGCATATAAATGATACAAAGGCAATATTATATTAACCTGACATTTTAGATGTCATTTGCAATTGAAAAAATGAAGCTAGTCCTCTTAAGTGATGACTTTAAAACTGTAATTTTATGTTTTAAATATCAATCTGATTTTGATATTATTGTCACATTACAACTACATTAGAATACCATCAGAGACTTCTTTTTTTAAAAGCAGATTTAAACTGGTTTTTTTTTTGAAAGATGTGTGCTGCTTTGAGTACATATATCCAGATCTGTGCTTACTTTAGGCATCCATATTGCAGTCCATATATGTGGTCACTGATACTCCAAAACCTGAATGATTGGATTTATCATTGACAGTTTAGTAATTTCTGCAAGTTGTCAGTCACTAGGTAGACAGGGTATTTCCATGCCAGCTTACTCTGCAATCTGCAAGAGCTCAGAATATAACAAAAGGATAATTTATTTAAGGTTGTTTATGAATATCTGTTTGTGCTTGCTACTTGATTTAATCATTGCCCTGAATCACATGATTGCCTTCAGAAAGATGCCATGGAAATGAGTCAATTAATATAAATGGTCATGCACTTGTGGGTGTTCTAGAATATTAAATGAGTAAGCTGGTATAAAACACTGACAGCTTTCTTAAAGCTTCTCTAAGGCCATTTTGAACTCTTCTTAATGTTTATTTTTCAAGTTGATTGATTATGTTGTTGCCTATTGCAGTGAGTAATGATAGATATGGGAAAAATATTTGAGTGTGGCACTGAGTAATTTGTCACAGTATTGCACATTTTGGGGTTTTATTGCTTTAAAAGTTCTCATCTCAATTGAAAAAAATATAAGTCAAATCTAGGATAAAATTTTTGAGAGAATCTAGCTCCCTTTAACTGGTTGATTTTCAAAATCTTTTAACTCCTGTAACAGTAAAGATGCTGTCACTTTTACTCTGTTTAGGGCCTGTGAAACACTTGTGGCTTTTTTCTGTTTTGCATAAAAGCTGGGTTTTGGAGATTTGATTATTCAGTGTCTTCATGAGACAGGAAAAAGGAGGGTGTAACAGCTCTCTATGGAAGTCTAATTCTGTATTGATTTAGACATCAACACTAATAGCTATATAGAAACTCTTTCTAGATTCTCTCAGTCAGGCAAATTTTATAATACAAAAAGACTAGGTCAGTGTGGCTGCTTCTATTGTACCCAAAGTTAGTAACCCTGACTCTGTATCATGAGAGAGTTCCTCTGAGTTCTCTGAAAGATACAGATTTATGTGGGATAGTGGGAAATAAATGGGCTTTCATCAATAAGGTTCTGGAAGAAGACTGATCAAAACTCAGAGCACAGGAATCAAGAAGGAATATATT